GAGCCTGGAGGGCCTTGATAGTATGCTCGGTTGAAGATTCAGGATTCATGACGAGACTGCTGAAATAAACAGCGAAGAAGGTAAGTAACCTGCAGAGAAAGGGTACCTGTTATGCAATGATATGTATGATATGCATGCAATGATTTCAAGGACTTCGCGGGGTAAACAGAGAAACTTGTTAGAGTTGAGAACTGGTAACTTGATTGAAGGTACTTCAACAGAATTATACTCCATTGAAGACCAGACAGTCCTAGATCTTGATGAAGATGTTTCCCTCAGTCGAAGACCTGATCGGTTCTTAATCTCAACTGAATTATCCTCGGTTGAATTACAGATAAGGTTCTCAATCTCGACAATTTCCTCCGTCGTAGTATGGACAAGTTCTAAAATCTCAACAGAATTATACTTCGTTGAAGACCAGACAGTCCTAGATCTTGATGAAGATGTTTCCCTCAGTCGAAGACCTGACCGGTTCTTAATCTCAACTGAATTATCCTCGGTTGAATTACAGATAAGGTTCTCAATCTGGACAATTTTCCTCCGTCGTGGTGTGGACGAGTTCTAAAATCTCAACAAAATTATCCTCTGTTGAAGACCAGACAGTCCTAGATCTTGATGAAGATGTTTCCCTCAGTCAAAGACCTGACCGGTTCTTAATCTCAACTTAATTATCCTCGGTTGAATTAGAGATAAGGTTCTCAATCTCGACAATTTTCCTCAGTCGAAGTGTGGACGAGTTCTAAAATCTCAAAAGAATTATCCTCCGTTGAAGACCAGACAATCCTAGATCTTGATGAAGATGTTTCCCCCCAGTTGAATTATGGACAAGTTCTTAAAACTCAGCAGAGATGTTCTCTAAGTTGAAGTACAAGCAAGTTCCTAAATCTCAACAAAGATCAGACTTCCCCCAGCGGAATCTTCCACAGCAACAGGTATGCAAGTTCTCGCTAAGGAATCCCTTACGCGATCTACACTCCTGCAGATGGCATCTTTAAGCCCATCCTCCCGCCAGCAATCTCCAAATGGCATCTGTAAGCCCATTCCCGACATCACAAGGCTGATACCACTTCATGCGAGTGCAAATTTCTGGGCACTCTAGTGTTCAATCATCTTCCGCCTTTGGATCACGAAAGGCACGAAAGCCAATCTACATCCTCAGGTTTAAGAAGATTGAGCAAGGGCATCTGTTGTACCCCAAAATTTTCCCTCTCATATTTCTCAAAACATTGCAAGGAAAATCCCTAAGTTGCTCAAGATTGCTCAAGAGTTGGACAATCAAGCTATTTCCTAAGGCAGTCAACCCCAAATTAGGGTTTTGTGTTGCATCAAGATCTTTGAATCCAAATTACCTCAAGTGCTCCCTAATGTTCTAATATGTTCTCAAGGTCATCCATGTCAAGTTTCAAGTCTTGCAGAGGAAGTTTGCTCAGTCAATTGCTCAAAGGGTCCAAAAATCGACTGTGCTAGGGCAAAAGTCAACTGTGACCTACAAATAGTCAAACCTTAATATTTTTTGTCAACATTCTAATTTTGAAGGATATTTCATCATTTTATCAAGGGTTGATCATGATTCATCAAGGATTGCTCACAATTCATCAAGATTCAAAAGTTGCTAAATTAGGGTTTTGTAGGAAAAGTCAACTCAACTTTGACCAAGCATAGCTTTCTCATACTTTATGAGAAATGACCCATCCAAAGCTCATTTTGAATAGGATTCAATTTCCTACAATCCATATTCATACCCCAAGTTAAAAAGTGCACTCACAAGAAGTTACAAATTTGGACATTATAGGTCATTTTTGAAAGTCAACAAAAACACATTTTTTCCAAAGATTATAACTTGGGCATGGAATATCAAAATGATATGAGACCAAAAGGGTTGGTTAGAGGACATCTCAAGATTTCTAAAAAGTCCAAGAACACCTTCAAAAGTTCAAAATTGAAGAAGTTATGCATTGTTGAAGTTGGACATCTTTGCAAAATTGCCAAAAGTAAACTATCCCCAAAACATCAAATTTTGTCAAATGGGCCCATTCTTTTCCACTTGATTTGAGCTTGCATCATTGTCCACGTGTCCTAGCTTCATCCATGAGCCCATATCTTATTTTTATTATTTATTTTGATTTTTAATTGAATTTATTCATTTTAAATCAAATAAAATCATATAATATCAAAATCATTTATAACTCATGATTATTTGGTTGCTTTAGGCTTTGAATACAGATATTATGTGAATCAAATTCGCATCAAGTGCATTGGTTACAAGAAGATATGATTTAGGCCAAATTTGGAAGGTTGTAATGGTGGAATCAAATCTAATTCATGAGCATTGATGTGGAGAGATTTGTACCAAGTTTCTTACCCTAATGCAATATACCTTACATAAGGAAGGCAAAGGCACGAAAATAAAGGTTGGAGGCTGCAAGAAGAGGCAGAACAAAGTTTGAAAAAGTCACCAAAAATCTTGAATTCGAAACCATAGCAAGAGGCAATTTCAGAAGCATAGACCGGTCTCAAACGATTCCTGGGTGTTCACTCAGTCTACCTGGATCAAGAACAAACATTCTCAGACCACCTAGCACGCTGTAAGTATCACGTTATCTCGCTCTGTATTTGAAACCATAACTCACTATTCTTGCATCATTTGAACAAATCATTGATATATTTGTGATCTTCATAATATTTCCAAGCTTTTGGCATTAGTTAATTTTGTTTATCTGACATGTAAAGCCAAATACCGTAACTAGGGTTTCGTGGTTTTTTTTTGTGTTTCTCTTTCAGGAAAAATTGGCCATCAAGAAGGGTATGGTTGTGACCGAGATGATGAGACGAGCACAACTATGCCCTTAGAATTCATTTTCATGGCTTACAAAGATTTTTGGAATGTGCATGACTTATAGTGACGGTCTGTGTCCATTGGTTTAAGTCTGGAATGTTTTAGCCACGGACGTGAGGTATAAGACGAAGACGAAGACGTGTCACACCATCAATGGCCAGTTCAAAACCACGCGCGCTTTTTACTTTTTTGCTGGCATATTGACTTATTTTTTATATATGATATATTATTTGTATATTATTAACAAATAAACCAAGTAGCCTAGTGGTAAACGTGTACATCCATTAGCCTACATGACCTGGGTTCGAATCCCAAGTCCCCCACTTTCTTTGTTATTTTCATTCTTCAGGTAATTACATGCATATTCAAGCGCGCAGAACACCATACGCCTTCACATATCCAGCTGCCAGATGGCACAAGGCGAAATCTGATGGCCAATAATTGATGGTTCACCATAGACAAAGTCCATGCACGCCTACTGGATCTCAAAATTCAACAAAGGGCCAGCTCGTTTGGGCCACAGATCTGTTGTTCAAACACCCATATACAGGCCCATACCCCCTTTCTCTCTTTCTATTTCATTTATTTTATTTTTATTAATTATTATATTATTTGCTTATTTACTAACCAATTGAAAAATTCTTTTCTTTTTATAAAACAAAATCACAAAATATTTTCTTTATCAAATCAAACTTTTAACTTTATTTATATTTTTTAATAAATACTAATTAAATTAACTTAGGTTTAATTAGAATAATTTTAATATATTTTTGTAAATAATTAAAATTAAATTAGACTTAATTAGGTTTTACTAATTCAATTAATTTTTTATTTCTTTCTAAAAATAACAAAAAATCAAAAATATTTATTTTTATTTTATTAATTAATTAATTTAATAATTTAGCAATTAATTTAGAATTTATTTCTTTCTTAAAATAAAAAACAAAAAAAAAATCTTTTCTTTAACAAAAAGGGTCAAAACCCTAGAACATTTGCACTCGATTAATTTCCTGCACGCGATTTATTTATTTTATCCAATAATGTACTTGCTCCCGGTTTGTAATAGTTAAATAGGATCTTTTATTTATTTTTTATCGCTTTATTTATTTTTAAAGGGTTGTCTTTGGCGATGTAAATACCCGACGCCTTGTAATTTAAATTCCGCAATTTATTTTCCACAAAATATAACTGTTAGATGTTTGATAATAGGGATGCATGACAAGACTGAATGTTTTAACCTAAAATCAACTTAGATCACCATTAACATGTACAAAGATAAAAAATAACTGAAAACGACACACTCGCACATGCGCACTCTTAGGGTACACCCCCACTTGGTTGCCTTCGTACGCGGTCATTGAGTATAGGTCACTTTAGAGATCGCCCTCTTGTCTAAAAGATCAAAGTTGCCTCGAAACGGTTGCCTTGGATATTGTTGTCTCAAAATAAATGATCTAAGACATTAGGATTACCGCTAAGGCATCCTGACATTGCTTTAGTGACCGTAAGTCCCGCATTCGAATTGACCCTCAAATTTCGACGACGGTGCTACCTACTCATCAATAGTAGGATATCATTGTCTAAAGGAAATTAGCATAGAATGTTTCCTTTTTCGAGTAGGTAGATGGTTCTTAGATACTTGCTCTTTCAAAAACAAAAACTCTTCACACTTACACTTTTCGAACAAAGTTTTCAAAAACACTTCATACGCTCTTGAGGACAGAAGCAAGAGTTAAATCAAAGTTTCAAAACAAAAACTTTTTCAAACCCACAAGCACAAAGAAAGAAATATTTTGAAAACAATATGAGTAAGTACCTAAGAGCCCGTGGATAACCACGGATAAAAAGGGTGCTAACACCTTCCCTTTCTATAATCTACCCCCCGAACCCGAGAAATATCTCGAAAAAGGAATTTTTCTGTGCTTTTTTCCTTTCCTTGTTGGATAAAATAAAAGTCGGTGGCGACTCTTGCTTACCGTGACATTTTGCGAAAACAAACGTAAAACGCAAACCAGCATTCCAAAAAATAGTCAGTTCTTCCCACCGTATCACACCTGCAAACATCTTCAATCACTTGTGTGAAGCTATCAAGGAGACCAAAAATAAATATAAGAAGAATGTTCCTTATTCAAGGCTTCTTTCTGAGTTGTTTCATCATAGTAGGATGATTGAGACTCTGTTGGCTTATGGTGCTACAGAAGATTTGGGAGAAACAGTTAGAAATATTATTTTAGTTTTTGTCATGGGAAATATGAAGATAATCTCCAAGAAATATATGGTGTAACATGTAATTGGGCTATGAATAAAAATGCCAAAACTTCCTTCATTAATGATTTTCCTTTCATCTCCAAGCTGGACAATCATGAAATTCAGGAATTCATCAACATAGCCAAGGAAGAAACTGGAGTCATTCTGACCTTAAATGACATTCTTGAAGCCCCAGAAGGAAGTGTGTACAAGCCTTCAAGAAAAATGAAGCATGATGCTTCTGCAATTGTGATGGAGGTTCAGAAGAAATCTAAGAAGAAGGTTGTACATTAGAAGGTAGTTCAGAAGGAGTTTAAAAAATTTGCCTCTACAACTATCTTTGAACTTACCAAGACAAGAAGTGGATCCACTGGTAAAAATCCTCAAAAGAAAACCTCTTATGATTTTGTTGTATATATGAAGAAGAAGATAAGGAAGATAGTGTTGTAAGAAGTAGAAGAAGAAGATGAAAAACCTCTATTAAAGAAGGAGCTACATTATTAGCATTTGCATTGATCAATCAGGCTATGGAACAACCTTATATTACTGAAGTTCTGTTGAGCAAGTCGACATTGTAGTTGAAGCTGGAGCTGTATGGAACGGGGTTGAGGGTGATTCTAAAGTTGGAGCTTCTCTTATGCCAACTATTGGGGAAAAAGATCAAGTTTCTTCAGATGTTGAAGAGACCGTTCTCACAGATAATCCTCTGAAATAGGTCTCTGATAATGTTTTAAATCCTTCAATTTCACCTCTCAACTCCTACTCCACCTCAATATCCTACACAATCATCATAACACATACCCTCACCTAAACTTGACCAGAACCTTTCTATAGGTCCTTTCATGTCCTTTCCCAAACCAACCTTAGAATCAGAAATCGATGCATCAAATTCTCATAACATTGGTCAGATGCTTAAGGACTTTTCTCAATAATAAATTTTCCCTAAAGTATTTGTCTTATAGGAAATGACAAGTCACCAAGCTAGTGAGTTACCTAACGAACACAACCATCTAGCATGTCTCTCTGATTTTGTCCAACCCCAACCCTTAAACTTCATGTTTGAACCTTCATAAAGGTTTCCAATTCTAAATTAATCTCAAGCTCAAGTGCTTGCTCTGTGTTTGATAACATTGAATTTAGACCTCTTGTGGTTGAACCTTTTCAAGTTATTCCTCTTGAAACTAAACCCTCTGATTTTCAACAAAATTTCCAAACCATTTATGTTGAACCAGGCCTAACAAACCTTGTTCAAATTGAAATTCTAGTTCAACCGGAAACTAAACAAGTAATCTAAGACCAATCTTTATCAAAACCCCAAACCCAACTTGAATATGAACCTCAAAAAAATATTATTCAGTATCAATCTGAAACTTGATCTGCTTTTGAACTTCAGACTGGAGTCGAGAAAGACACCCTACACCAAACCAACACTGAAAACCGCCTTGTTCAACCTCAACCAGAATTTGAATTCCAATATGACCTTGAACAAGTAATCTTGAATCAACCTCCACCAGAAGCCACAAAAGACCAAACTTTACCTGAAATACACCTTAACCAACAAACTCAACTGTATGATCATCATCTTTCTCCTACTAGAGAAGCAATTGTCGTGTCAAAATCTGGCACAATAGCTATATCTACTACCTCTACACATAATCCCTCTTAAAAGATGAACCTTACACCTCATATTATATACCAAATGGAAGAGTTTAAGATTGTTATCTTTTATAGGGTTCAAAATATGGTTGCTGAGAGGCTCATTGCATCTAATCCCACTGCTTATGCAGTTAAATGAGACACTTTCAAAATCTCTATGGATAAAGTCCTGCAAAATTTCAATTATTTCTCATTTGAGTATGTAGCTTCCTCTAGTGAGAAGCTTGAGCACTTAGAAAAAAATTGGCTTCTGTTGCTACTACTCAAGAATCTATGGGTGCTCAGCTTAAGAATGTTGTGGTTTCTCAAGTGGGAATATGTACTTAGATTCCAGCAGTGGCTGCTAAGCAAGAAGAGATGGATGTACATGTGAAGACAATGATTTCTAGGCAAGATGAAATAGGTTCTAATCTCAAAGATATCTTGGAGCTTTTGAAGCATAAACCCTAGGCTTTAGGATTTAGCAAACCTTTCTTTGTTTTATCTTTATTTTAAACATATTTTTGCAATCTATATCTCTTCTTATTTGGTTAATGAAATTTTTTCTTCAAAATTTTTCTTATTTTCTTCTGTATATTATTTTTGTTGATGACAAAAGAGGGAGTAGAATAATAAGTATTTGAGCTCCCGAATCTAACAAATTAATCCTTGCTTAAATTTTGAAGTATTATTATTTTATGCTTTAATGATCAATTTAGTTAACCTGGATAAAAATTAGGGGGACCTTACAAACCTCACCCTTAGGACTATCAGACTCAGGGAAGCTTACAAACTTCAGACTTGTATTCAACTGGTTAATTAAATCAATAATCATTGTTCTTAAATACTTGTGTTTGTTATCATAAAAAAGGGATATTATTGGAACAAATTTGGTTTGTAACACATCCCTAAGGATTTAATTATAACAAAGAATTTAAAGAACAATTGGGTATATTAATATCTGTTCAAGTGTGCAGGATCGTAGAGTAAAATCTATGATAGAAAATAAGTTCTAGCACTGAAAATTGAAAATTAAAAAGAAGATGAAAGAGAGCCAGAATCTGAAGGATCAAAACCTGAAGATCAGACTCTAAAGAGGTTAACTTCTGAAGACCAGAGACTGAAGAAAGTCAACCTCTAAAGATCCAAATTCTAAGGCTTAGACTCTGAAGAGGTAAACTTCTAAAGACCAAACTCTGTATAAAGTCAACCTATAAAGATCTAGATTCTAAAGAATCAAACTCTGAAGTCAGACAAAGATCAAGGAACAATAAGATTATGAGCAGTCAATATCAAACTCTGTGGAAATTTTGTATTCTTCGGATAAAGAGAAGACTTAGCAGATTTTTGCAGAAGACATGAGGAATGAAACCGTTAATTCCTATTGAAGTAAAGTAATTTCAAATGGCCTTTCAACGGGATTAACCATACCAGGAAGCTTTCCAACGTCTATGACGTTGCTTCTCTAAAATACTCCTTATGCATGAAGTTTTCTTAAATGACTCTTTTAGGTTCCTCCATTTAAGGAGCCGGAGATTTGAAGAAAACTATACAACACTATACCTTGACAATTACAGAGTTGTTACTCTGTCAAAACAATATCACAAGCTTAACTTAGGATTTCTTAACACTTGTATATTCTATAAATTCCTAAATATTAGAGTCTTTCAATGTTGTATTTTGTTTTCACGTCTGATTGTATATCAAATGTAATACTCAAATAGTCTTTCTTTCTAAGTTAGATTCTAGAAGTCTCTTGCTTGTGTGATTGAGCATCAGAAGTCTATTACTTATGTGTTTGAGCAAAGGAACTATCTTGCTTGTGTGCTTGACCATTATAAGTATCTTACTTATAGGCATTGAAAGTCTCTTGCTTTGTGCTTGAGCATTTGTAATCAGTATTGGTTATAGTGAAAATCCCTTGGAAGTGCAATGGGACTGGACTACTCCTGATTTGTGGGAGGAACACGGATAATTTCTTGTGACTCTCTTTATTTCCTCTCAACCTTTAAATTGTTTTATTCTGCTGTAAAACATTAAATTTGATTTAGATTATTTACCTAATGTTCAGAATTTGATAAAAGATTTCAGAAGAGAAAGAAAAAGTGTGAAAAGACAACACAATTCAACCCCTTTCTTATATTTTACTCACATTCAATCACCATTAGCATACTCCTAATTAGGGTTTCAGAACATAACAATGGAGATTTCTATGGGAGTTGAATCCTAATTCCCGCGAAATTTCCATGAAGGGGTCTTCTTAGATCTAAACTCGAATATTTGTCATAATCACCGAGAAATAGAGGCAGTTACCTCCAAGATCGCGGTAAAAATCCTAATTAAACCTCTAATTTAATATGGCCTCGAATGTTAGTCATAGAAGAAACCCATATCTAACCACATTTGATGTAGATCTAATACCAACAAATTACGTTCGTAAGGAAAAGAATCTCTGAACGCAAAGCTACCACATATGGTAATGGTTATCATTACAAATCACACAACACATTATTGTGGCACGAATTGTTAAGTATTCTAGTTTTAATCTACCACCTTTAATCATCTCTATTGGGATCCAAAACATCATCAAATCTAAAAGTGATATGTCATTGGAATGCTTCATCCAGATGAAAAATTCATATCGATTCAAGAAACGAAGTTTGAAGGACACTAAGAAATTCAAGGGATGGGAAAAAAATGAAGAACCTCGAATAAAGAACTACCAATGATCTGGAGTTTTTCCATCACCGATGAAAACATGTTAAGATATCTCATAGAAGATGGATTCCCCGTGATAACGTCCGATCTAACACAATCAGACTATCACATATCCGTTGATCAAATCCAGAAGTACATGATACCAAAGATTCTTTGGCCTTCAGTAAATCTATAACTCACTCCCACAAAGGAGCGAAGATCGGTTAGCAAGGGGAAACACCAATATAATGTCGTTATCACTTAAGGAACACCCTGAGCAAGCCTCCTACCCAAGCGAACTATGGAATGAAGGATCACAAAGATACCGAACATCCTTAAGAAGAATGGAAGTAAATAAATGAAAATACCTACTCAACCAATGATAGGGTTTTGAGACTTAAATAAATATGGACCTCGAATGAGGAAGTTTATGGACATACAAAGATTCAGATTAGCGGGTGTGAAACAGTACCACAACTCGTCCATAAGAGTTCACCAAATTAATGATATATGTGAAAAATGGAATAATGTATAGTTATTCATATCACGATTCCTTGAAGTTCCCTGCAAGAGGGATTATAATTGCATTCCTAGAAAACCCTTTGTGGCCTCTTGGACATTGTAGCCTCGTCGATCCACCTTAAACCCAAATTCTATAATCTTCAAGGAAAGCCAATCACAATTAATAACAATCTCGAAGAAGTCCGGAGGATTATGAAGAATAATGTCTACCTCTGGAAAAAAGGAACACAAATATGCTACTCGGCTAATCGCTCAGAAGAGACAACCCCTAACTACCCCAAAAATGGTCAGGTATCTATGGTTGTTAATGAGAAACATCAACGAAGGCACTGATTATCCCATATACTTTTGTCGATTAAAGGTATGTGTTGTACCCCAAAATTTTCCCTCCCATATTTCTCAATACATGTCAAGTGAGGTCCTCAAATTGCTCAAGGAGGTCCAAGAGTTGACCAGACAAACTCTCTCCTAAGACAGTCTACCTCAAATTAGGGTTTCATTTTGCATCAAGATGCTTAAGACCAAAGGATCCTAAATTCTCACCATTGTCCTAATATGTTCTCAGGATCATCCATGTAAAGTTTCAAGCCTTGTAGAGGAAGTTTGCTCAGTCAATTGCTCAAATACCTATAAATTGACTGTGCTAGGTCAAAAGTCAAATGTGGCCCACATACAGTCAAACCTCAAGATTTTTGGTCAACATAATCATTTTTAAGTATCATTCATCATTTTATCAAGGGTTTATCATGATTCATAAAGGATTTCTCACAATTCATCAAAACCCAAAAGTTGCTAAATTAGGGTTTTTGCAGGAAATTTCAACTCAACTTTGACCAAGCATAACTTTCTCATACTTCATCAAAAATGACCCATCCAAAGCTCATTTTAAAGAGGATGTAATTACCTACAATTCATCTTCATCTCCCAAGTTCATAATATGCACTCATAAAAAGATATGAGTTTTGACATTATAGGTCGTTTTGAAAAGTCAACAAAAACACCTTTTGGGTCAAGGCTTCATACATGAACATGGAAGACCCAATTGAGATGAGACCAAAAGGGTTGATTAAAGGACATCCTATGCTTTCTAAAATGTCCAAGAGAACCCTCATAGGGTCAAAATTATGAGAGTTATATATTGACCAAGTTGACCTTTTTTGCAAAATTGCCAAAAGTCAAATGTGTCCAAAATTGCATTTTTTTGCTAAGTGGGCCTAACTTTTTATGCTTGCACTGAGTTTGTGATGTGATCCACGACCCATGAGCCTTTCCACTTGTCAGTATTTTATTTTTATTATTTATTTTGATTTTATTTCATTTAAATCAAATAAAATCAATATAAAATAATGAAAATATCAAAAATCAATTAAATCTTGAGATTTTGTGCATGATTAGAGTTATTATACAGCTGGTGGCAAGATCAAATCGTGCAAGGCTTCATATAGACAAAAAAAGATTGAAAATGCTTGTTTTGGAAAGATTTGGTGCAAAGAATAAATCAATGATCAATCTTCATAAATGGAAAAGAATTGATGCAAATATTTACCCTAATGCACTCTATTATAGATAGTGAACAAAGGCAGACCAAGAACAAGGAGGCTGGAGGCGTGCAAAGGCAGAGAAAAGTTCAAATTTCTCAAGGAAAAGTGTTGATCAAATCTTGCTCCACAGGCCGTTTCAAGCGTTTCAAAAGATCAATTTAGATTCTTGGATTATCCCTAAAGCCAACAAGATCGTTTGCAAGGCCTGGGACGCTCAGAATCACCCTGTAACGTTCATACGGTTTGCCTATTTTCTTGAAATCGAATATAT